TATATATAAGAGAACCTTTTTAACCACACCCAACAACACACACAACAAAGAAAAAACTAAAGATCCTCTTTTCCCAAAAAAGAAAATACAAAACACACACACAAAAGAAATACAAAAAGCAATAGAAAAAACAAAACTAACAAATATCCTTTAAAGCAAACTGCAGTAGATAAGAAGGAACAACCTTTGAAATCATAGCTCCATTCATTTTCAAACCATATTTAGCCACCGAATGTGCAATCATATTACCTTCACGCTTAATATGAGACCACCTTATAACCAAGCTCTTAGACAAATCAACAATCTTTTTCTTCTGAAGATTAATACTCCAATAATGAGCATCTTGAAATTGACAACACTTCCATAAAATCAAAAAATCATTTTCAATAATAACAAATTCCCATCCAAATTTCTGAGCCATCTGAAGTCCATAAACCAAAGCATCAGCTTCAGCAACCAGAGGGGAAACAAGAATCACACCTGCTGAGAACCAACATACAATAGAACCCAAAAAATCTCTACGTACTTCTCCAAAACTAGCGGAAAAGGAAGTCCAATAACAATCAATATTGATTTTTATACAAGTTGCCCAAGGTTTACACCACTTCACCATAGAGAAAGTCTTATCATGCACAACAATAGGTAAAGAAAGATTTTGAAATTCCTTTAGTTTAACTGTAATCTTCATATTAGGAGTCAACAAATTCAATCCTTTAATCAGATAAGTAAGAACCATACTAACAGTACGATTCACATTAGGAACTGTATTGTTGAATTTAACATCATTGCTAGTAATCCATATAAACCAAATAATAACAGCAAGTACCGAACTGAAAAATGTATGACTGAGTTTATTCCATTCATTGAAAATATTAGAAATATAAGTATGCTGAAACGAAGACCTTGTTAACTGCAATTTCATAATAACTTCAATCCAAATATTAATGGTAAATTGACAATTAACAAAAAGATGAGTAATGGATTCTTCATGGTCTCTACACGAAACACAGCATGAAGGCAGCCTCAAACCCTTCATTTTGAGAATATCATCACAAGGAATTATATTATGAAAGACTCTCCAAACAAAGAAAGAGATGGAAGATTTAATCCAAGGATTCCAAATCCAGCTAAGATTCAACCCTTGAAAACGCTGAAAGGAGATAACAAAGCTCTTTGCACAAGAGTCTCCCAATTTGCCTTTAACCTTAGGCAAATCAACCTTATCACTGTTAATAGGAATAGATGCACTAAAATTTCTATCATCATAGTGAACCATTTTCATAAGCTTTCTTAAACACCAACGATTCTCATACCAAAGATCCTTAACTTTGATATTAATATCAAC